ATAGTCAGTGATGCAATACAATTGGTTATGAAGATAAAAATGTGGCGTACAGTTTCTATAAAAATTCATATAATGTGTCCATACCACTGTGCTAATGCACAATATAATTTCATTTGCCTGAAGGGGACCAGTGAGGGATCAGTGCGGTGCAACCATGTGCATGCATCCTCTGGCATCTGTCATGTGTAGGAAAGCCAAAGATCATGTTGTGCTACAGAGAAGCCCATCAACATGCAAGTGAAATTCAGTGTACAGTCATGCCTCGCTTAACGATTACCTCATTAAATGATGAAACCGCTTGACAATGAAGTTTTTGCGATCGCAAAACAATGTTTTAATGGTAAAAATTTGCTTAATGACGACTGGTTCCCTGCTTCGGGAATCATTTTTTTGCTAAATGATGATTTTGAAACAGCTAATCAGCAGCTCTAAAATGGCTGCCCGCTGTGCAAAATGGCTCCCCACTCTGTTTTCAGAACAGATTCCTCGTTTTACAGGCACTGAAAATGGCTGCCCTAAGGAGGATCTTCGCTGGACGCTGAGGTATTTAGCCCATTGGAATGCATTGAACCGGTTTCAATGCATTTCAATGGGCTTTTTCGTTTCGCTTAACGAGGATTTCGCTTAACAACGATTTCAACACAATGAATTATCCTTGTCAAGCGAGGCACCACTTATGTGCATCCTCTCCCAGTTTACAGATAGAGTAGCCCTTTCCTATTTCACAGAGAACAGTCCTCTACTTGAAGAACCATCTAGCTCTGATTTAAAATAAAACAAAGCCAACAAGCAAAACCACAAAGGAGAGTGGGAGTCTTGACATTGCCCTTCCACAGTTATCATCCGGACAGAAGACTGAGCTGGCAAATGGATCTCCTGTGTGCTGTCTATTCTTCCCAACAATGACAAAATATTATGCATTTCTGTCTACACTACCGTATCTGTGTCAATGCTTCGGCATAATTTAGGCAATGCCCGTCTAACCCAAGCCTGTGTTCTCTTTGCTCCTTGTTTCCATAAGCAGCTTTCCCAGCTATCCACATGGAAATCCCAAGCAATTCCAGTATCTGTTGTCTCTGTGTAATGACCATGAGAGTCACTATCCTAGCTTTACACCCTTGTTATCAGTGGGAGAGTGGAACTGGGGAATCTGAAGCTTCCCAACACTGTCCTGGCAATTTATGATGAAAATGAAGCTTCATTACGGGATGTTAGTGGCTGATAATCACTGTATGTGATAGGATCAAAAGTGGTCTAGTTCTGCCAGCTGGATGAGCCTATTGTTTATTCGAGAAGTATTTATAGGAGAGAAATAGGGGTGGACTTGATGATCTATAGGATCCCTTCCAGCTCTGCAGTATTACTATAATCTCAAAATACTCAAATCTCAAACTTCCTAGGTAGTTTCTGGAGGATTGCATGAAACTTGGAAGATCCTACTTTACACAGGTCCTTCTTAAAACTTGGAGGGGGGGGGAGTTACTTCCTTGGACTACAGCTTCCAGAATCTGAGAGCCGAAGTTCACAAACATAACTTTCCTAAATATTTCTGTGTGGTATGCAGAGCAAAATTATTTTGCACAGGCTTGTCCAGGCAGCTAAACAAGGTGACAGAATGCTGCGTTAACTGAATGGATTATAAGCACATTAATAAATATACACAAAAATTATAAAATCCCTGAAAATAGAAAGGCAACCCATCAGGAAAACACCTAGGAAACAGCTGCATTCCCCAGCATGTTAATTTTCTGGTTTTTCCCCAACATATTCATTTTCTAGTTACAGCAATTTTATTACACAATGGTATTGCCCAACTGTTGCTCAAAGTGGTAACTTCTCTCAGTCTTTTCCAGTTTCATGTACAGTGGAGGTGGCGTCAATGCTGAAAGTGGTGATATTCCTTACCTTGATCTCAAACTCCCTTTGAGGAGTAGAAAAATTAAACTCATAGGACCACAGTGGGTAAAGTGGCAATTGCATGCATCCAGGCAGCATGTCTAAATGTAGCTTAAACCTGACAACACTGTGATTCAATATTGCTGTGCTTTATAATGAGAGCATAGGATTCTGCCACTCTTTTCTGACGGAACAAAGGAAACCACCATATACCAGGTCAGGGGTATATGGTGGACCTTGATCCATGTGGCCCTTTTTTGTGTGACTGTTAGCCACAACAGGAGCTCTTCATGGTACCAAGCTGAAATCTTCAAGAACTTGGAGAAGTTATGTTTTTGGATTAAAATTTCATAATTTCTTAGCAAGCATGGTACATGTGCAAAATGGCCACCGCTGAACTATTTCCAAAGAAGCAGCTGTGTAAATCTGTCTCAACATGTTCATCATGTTACAGGGAGGAGGGGGGAGAAGGGGATCAAGACCTACTTCTGTCTGAAGAAGTAGATTTCGATCCAAGACAATGTGCTAGTATTTAAAGTGCTGCCATATTTTATCTCTCTTTTTTTAATTCTTCCCACCCTTTAGTTTTGTCACGCCTTGAGCTATGATCTTCTTAAATCAGAAATAGTGGGAATTAAATTTTAAATATTTTGCACGTAAACAACATGCACTACTACCAACTGTGGTACTTTTCCTGTCCCTTTGCAAATATAGCAGCATGCAGCTGTGATATTCTCCATAGCACCTAACTCACTACAGTACTGGCAATAAATCAAGTTTGGTAAGCCTTGCCTGGCTTATCAGGAACTTGCTTTGATCCAACATGCTTAGTTCTTGCACCACTTGATCAGATCTAAATTGGCAATAACCTCCTTTAAGAAACCTCAACAAAGAAATAAACATGAGATGAAACTGAGAGGAACATCAACAAACCTGGAAGAGGTAGATTAAATGCAAAAGAGCTAGGGAGGTAGATAGCCTGAATAATTATTGAGTCATCTGCACAATGCATTTTGCACACAATGGCTATATTGTGCATAGCTTGCGTTCTCAATTAAGGACAGTATTGAAGTGAATTGAGATACTCAGGCTTATCAAAATGACAAGTCATCAACATGCTAATGCTGGTGCACAGTTAGAGGTACCCAGTTGTGTGTATATATAAAGAGAGGATGGGGAGAGAAATGTTTATTTCCTTGTAGCAAACTCCAAGATTACTGCCCCTGCAAAAATCCAAGCTTTGGAGATATCTGATTTGTAATGCCCTTTAAACTGTCCTATCTCAATGTTATCCTCAAGGGTAGAATGTCTTTTATACCCGAAAGAGTTGTCATTCGCAATTTATGACACATTTCATTCCCTGCCACTTTTATGACCTTTTGATAGGGCTTTCCAGCAGCATCCAGTTGGCCAAGATTGGGAGCAGATTGATGGCTATAGAAGACCCTCTACTCCAAATCTCTTTCCCAGCTCCGTCTCTCATTTGAAGATGTCAAATACTGTAAGACCCCCCCTTATCCACAGGATCAGTATCCACTGATTCACTTATCCACAGTCATATTAAAAATATGAAATGAAAAATCATAGAAATATATATTTCTAATGATGAAGTTACCATAACTGGCCACGAAAGGGAGCCATAGACCATGCTATGTATAGCTTTCACTATTAAAATAGCATTTGCTATAAACCAGGTTTTTCAGCATCCATGACGGTGGGCGGGCTTGGAACTGACCCCTGCAGATATTGGAGTCCTACTGTTTTGCAGCTTGGACCTTTGGCATGCAAACTGTGTCCTCTACCATAGAGCAAAGGACCGTTTACTAGTTATACATGGTGGGTTATAAGATGGGTACTGTTTCTGCTGCCTGGCTGGACCTTCAGAAACAGGGCTTTTGGGAGCATAGCATGTCCCAGTTCTGTAAATAGTGGTCATAGTGTGCTGAATGCCTTTCTCATCAGTGCAACTAAGAAATGGTGTTACCTTGATAGCAAAAACAATGAAAACTCTTGAGGCAACCTAAAGACCAGGAAATGTTGTTGGGCATAAGCTTTTGTGAAGAATTGGTCCACTCACTTCTTCAAATGCCATGGGCTGCAGTCCCCAAATGGTCATCCTAAATAGAATTTGCTATTCTTTAAGCTGTTGCAAGGCTAGTAAAATGACCCATTTAAAAAACACTATTGCAGACTCTTTCACTTTCTGCCATCTTGATCTGTTGGGCTTCATTGTAGTATATCTTGGCACAACAGCTTGAGAGAGCCCAGGCTGAGGTCTACACTAAGGCAGCATAAAACATTGAAGTGTGACACAGATTAATTGGGATTTGTCTGTATCTGATTGCCTCAGTCTTGTCCTTCTTGCTGAAGTTGTATCAATATTCCCAAATTTAAACAGGAGGACCAAATGCTATCTCTAAAGTTGTTGTAGATCACAAGCTGAGTACGAGCCAACAGGGCAGTGCGGCTGCAAAAAACAGAAATGCCATTTTAGGCTTTATTAACAGAGGTTAGTCTCCAAATCACATTGAGTACTTCTTCTCATCTATTTCACACTGGTTAGGCCTCACCACGAGTACTATGTCCAGTTCTAGACATCACACTTCAAAATTGATGCAGACAAACTGGAACAGTTTCAGAAAAGGGCAACAAGGATAATAAGGGGACTGGAAAGCAAGCCTTATGAGGAAAGATTGAAAGCTCTGGGCATGTTTAACCTTGAGAAGAGAAGACAGAGGGGAGACATGATAGCACTTTTCAGATATTTGAAAGGTTGTCATAGATCGGAGGAGCAGGATAATAATGGGCTCAAGTTACTTTAGAGCAGTATGACAATGGAACCAATTATCTTGGGAGGTAGTGAGTGTTCCAACACTGGAGGCATTCAAGAGAAACCTAGAGAGACATCTGTCACTTATACAGTACTTGGATTTATGCATTGAGCATAGACTCGATGGCCTTATTGGCCTCTACCAACTCCCTTATTCTATGATACTATGAAAACCTGCACACACTACAGATATAGAGAAAACACAGCTGAACACAAATCCATCTGTCGCACACAAACAAAACATCTGATTCATGAAGGCAAAAAGGAGTACTTTCCATATTCCCTAGACTTCCTCCCTTCTCCAAACACATATTATTCTGTTATTAACTCCTTTGAGTCTGAAGAAGAGAAATCTAAACCAACTTGCTTGTCTTGAATAGTGGTTCTTGAAATGTCCCTTTCACAAGAGATAGAAACAATTCAATACATTTTCCCAACAATAAGTAGAAAGATCGTCTTCTACTTTTAAAACGGTGATACTAAGAGATAGGTTGCTCTGAACAGTTGAAAGACGCTGTATGATGGCTAACAAGGCCTTTTTGTGCTATAACATGCTTGCTGGGAAACCATTTCCCTACTGTCCATTGATTACATGAGAATCAGTAGACACAATGAGAACAACATCACAGAGCTGCCACTCAGACAGGAGGCATGGGCAGGAAGGTGGACTTCAGCATGCTTTTGGCCTTTGCTGACCTGCCACCAGTCACGCAATACACGGCTGCTTGGCTCTTTGACAAATTCAATGTCTGGAATGTAGCTGTGGATCCAGTTTTCGTAGTACGTCAGCCGACTGTATACACCAGGGCGGTTCTTGTTGGCACATCCTTCGCCCCAGCTGACGATGCCGGCTAAGACCCATGACTGGTCCACTAGACATACCATGGGACCTCCAGAATCACCCTGTGAACCAAGAAAATAGAAAATGACTTGGTGGTACTGAAATCAGGATGCCTGTTGTGTCCGTTGTGGATGGTGAAGTGAATAGCACAATGGTAGGCATATGCAGGAGTAACAGGGACAGCCATAGGCAAAAGTGGGCATTCATACACACACACACACACACACACACAAAACTACTATACAACCAGTCAATGTCCCCTTGCTTTGCACCAAAATCCTTTCTGGTGATGGATATTTCTAATTGAATTCTAATTATTATTATTAGAATTCAGTTAGAAATGTACCTACCCCGTCCTGCTTCTTTCTATGCCTGGTTCCAAAGCTGGGCAATGGTGTCACTAGCCTTACTAGCTCATAGTCATTCCCTCATGTTCTTTCTCTCTCTGTCTCTTCCCTGCCCATAAACACAGAGTGTAAGGCTGGGAATTCACTGACAGGGAAACAAAGATAGAGACTTGATCCTACACTGCCTGGATTCTCCTGGTAAGCAGCCATGTGGGAGTAAGGACCTGGGTGGTCACTAGAACCCAAATGCCCCATTTGTCAGCCTCCTTTACAAGATCAGGTAATCTCTTTTCTTCAGATGTGGATTTTTCAAGACCAAGTTGGAAACTCAGCTCAGCCCAACATTGTGCTCTGCATGGATGGTAAACTCTAATACTGTTTCTGACTCACTGAATGGCCTTGGGCAACCTGTCAACTTATATGAAAAATGAGCATAACAATTACCTTATAAATTTGCTTCTAAATGTTGAAGTACTAATTGGAACCATCCTTTCTTTGACTATTGTAGTAGGATTTATCTCTACTAGATTAGTACCTGTGTTGGAATATAATTCCTGAATAGCAAATGTGTATGAAGGAACTGTGGTTCTGTATATATCTGGAGGGCAATACGGAAGCACTGGGTACAAGAAAGGCACAGGATGCTAGGAGCAAAGATTCTTGATCTCAAGTTTCAGGCTGGTCATAAAGTGCCTCCCCAAATCCTCAATGCCGTTCTCAAGATACAAAGATGAGGAGGCATTTTCTACACATCAGGGGTGAGAAATTTTCAGACATCCTGAGGCAACACAAACCCACACCGGGACCTTGAAGGGCCACTGCCATCTTGCAGTCCCAAGCCTCCAATTTAAACAACAACAACACACACTCAGAAAGCTTCCTCATGCCTTCCAGTGGGTGTGGGACACAATGATTTTCATCCATCCCATTTAAGTTGTTTTTTTTTTTAACCAAGAGGCCTTAGAAATAACTTCCTCTCCACCTCCACAAAGGTTCCCTGGACCTAAAACAGCTTATGGAGGAGGAGAAGAAAAAACTGTTTTTTTTTGTTTTTTGTTTTTTTACCAAGAGGCCTTTGTGAAGGTGGAGAGGAAGTTATTTCTAAGGTTTCCTGGACCTAAAACAGCTTATGGAGGAGAAGAAGAAAAAAACCCTAATAAACGTGCTTCTTGAGAGGGTCTGGGGTCAGGTGGTTGATTTGTGGAGACCATTCAATTATGGGATGAAAAGTTTCAATGACTTTCTTGTTGAAGAGCTATATTTTTTAACCAGAGACTGCTCTGCTACAGGTTTTTCCTTTTTCAGTTTTCCTTCTCCTGCTATCTTCCTTTGAACCATGAATAATTGCATGAATGGCATCTTCAGTCTCAAGAGACTATGGTAACGTGCTCTGTATGGAGGACTTGGAGAGTGTCCTCTCCAGAGCACGAAGCCTGGGTAAAATAATATGGAGGTTAGACTGTTACCCAAGCAGGAAATCCTCCCTTCTCCACATCACTGAAATAGTCCAATGGAAAGGCAAGAGCCAATACAACTGGTTCCAGCAATGTCACAGGAGTTGCCAGAACAACACGAACTGCTTCTGGGACTCTGGCTTTGGATTTTGCCTCGAGGTGAACTCCTGAGGCCTTTTCCATCTGTGGATATAGCCACAAGGCAGTGGAGGTTTGAAATCGGAGTTTTCCTTCTCCTAGATGGGCTGCCTTCCAGGGCTGACAAGCCCCACCTACCCGGCTTTGAACCATATTTGCCTTTTATTTTGAAGGATGGCAGTGTTCCCCACCCACTGGAAGACATGGCGCCTCAGAATTCAACTGTGGAAGGCTGCTGTACATATTTATTGGGATGCTCACCTTGCAGGCATCTTTCATGCCTTCTTGGTAGCCAGCACAGATCATGTCATCCTTGATAATCCTTGGGGTCAGTCCATCCCCCATGTCGGTGCGATAGAGCTCACTACATGTCTTTGTGCCAATGATGGGCACCTTCACCTTCTGGAGGGTTTGTGGGGAGGGAAGGATGACTGCAATGACAACACCGCACACCACTGAAGAGCTTCTATCTAAAACCCACCATGCAGAGTCCCTCTCACGCACAGAATGCCATCCGTTAAACCCATCCACCCCATCGTTTGTCTATAACCATTTATATTTCTCCAGTCCCTTCCTTTTATACCATTTTACTCCAAATTTGGGGCAGGGGGATGGAGGTCATTTATTTCTGCCTCCAGATGTACATCTCCCTGCCATTATTCCTCTCACAGCGCCAACAGTGGAGCAGTAAGGCTGGTGCTGAATTTGTTTTCTACAATCTGATTCACAACCCATATTACGGTTCTATTTGGATTAGGAGACCACATGAAGACTGTGGATTGTCCACACCGGCCCCTCAGTCTGATGCAGTTTGATCTGTGCCACAGCCCCTGTTGCAAAGCCGGTGGGTGGTTTCAAGTGTCACTCAGTGTTAGGGAAAAGGTACTCACTCAAACTAACCCAACTCCCATCATCATCAACTGTTGTGTCAGGGAAACACTATTGTCTGAGGCTTCTATATCCTGCTAGTAAGACAGACCCCCTATGTTTTCAGGTTCTACTTCCTGTGGAGGCATTACACAGTTACAGCAGGCCCCTGCCCTCCAAACTGTTACATTTCCGTGATTAAGAAGATAATCGAGGGGGCAATTCAAACTAACCCAACTCCCATCATCATCAACTGTTGTGTCAGGGAAACACTATTGTCTGAGGCTTCTATATCCTGCTAGTAAGACAGACCCCCTATGTTTTCAGGTTCTACTTCCTGTGGAGGCATTACACAGTTACAGCAGGCCCCTGCCCTCCAAACTGTTACATTTCCGTGATTAAGAAGATAATCGAGGGGGCAATTCTCTT